AAGATCATGCTTACAGCACCAAGCATATTTAAAATAAAAGACACAAAAATTATAATCATTCTGTATTTATTCAACTCATATAGTATACACATTTTGTTCTGCTGAACTTTATAGAGGAAACAAACATTTGCATTATTGTCTTAGGCACATGCACCCTGGGGTTAATTCAGATGTGTGGAAAGATGGTGGAAAATGCAGAATAATAAGGAAAATTGAAGTTAAAACCCACTCAAAAATGTGGAAATTCATCTGAATTCATACATGACAGATATCAGAATATAATGAGACCCTGAAATGGATCACAGCAGAGCAAGCATACCGACCAATGGGGCACAGGTTTACCAATTGTCCCTGTCCATCCTACTCCAGTCATCTGGCTAGCCTTTGTAGTACACTAACAAGATGTCATAACTGCACAAGACATACCACAGCTGGGTTGGAGAGGCTGAATGAGATGAGTGGGGGAGATCTGCTAAAACTGGAGCACTCAGAATCTGGTGCAGCTGTTCATGGTAGTCAATCAGTTTATAACGTCAGCTTGTTCAGTTAACCTTTGCAATAAAACCGGGAAATGGATTTGTTTCTATGCAGAGCTGCACCAGATTTTACACACTCCAGTTTTAGTAAATCTCCCAGTCTGTCAACTCATCATCAGAACACCTTTAACAGACAAATGGAAAATAGGGCAAACTGTCACCCTTCACTGCTAGATGTTTAGTTGTATCTGCACCGACCCATAATGAGAGGACTATAAGCACATGGTACACTATTCCACCCATCAAGGGCACAAGCTACAGTACTAGCCTCATATTCCCGCTGCCCTAGGTCATGGACTATGCTGGTTGTAGAGAAATCTGGCCTACACTTTCTGAAACCCATCAGGGAAAGGTAACAGAAAGAAAGTTACTATAGTCATACTGACTCTGCCTTCTACTTGTCCACTACCACTCAACTCGTTGGTTTATCAGTCTGTCAGTAGCAGGGAATCATAAAGCAGTGGGTGGAAAGTGTCAGAAGGCTTGTAACTTCACTAGCTCTTTCCTTATAAAGTCAGACACAATATTCTGTTGTTTTTCTGCTGCAATAGTTCAAAGACTGTCAGCATGTTAAAATCATGTAACCATGAGAACAAAGGTACTCCAGCTACAAAAAAAAAAAACAAACAAAAAAACCTATAGGTTGTGCAGGCAGCCCCAGATACAGGCAATAACAGTTGCCCTTAAATGAGTCTACTTGGGTGCACTTTTTTCCCACCTAACAGTACCTTCACAGTTCAGCTGAAGTTAAGTTTACCTAATGTGTTCTTATGACACAGCGCTAAGTTGCCAACTTTCCTATTTCCTCCAATGCATATAGTGCACTACTGTACATTCAAATTGTGACAACTAAATATACTTGGAGCCCGAGTTATAAAGCAATGGTGTGACCTTAATGCAGTCATATTACCACTTTGTGTTTTAAACTTGCCTCTTAGTAAATAAAAATCAATCAATAAGTCTAGAAGTATATTGGACCAGATCAGAAACACATTACAAGAGTCCTATATACTGTGTATTATTAGTCTTCTCACATGATAAGGTACCAACAAAAAACAAGTCTACTAGTCAATTCATACATTGATTGTGTCTCTACATTTCTTTTCTTTAAGCACTTCCCTTCAGGTATTCACCAAATAGTAACAGTGACCTCTAAATTAATAGAAAGTCTAATAGGTGCTAAGTGTAATCCTAAACTCCTCTCCTTTGGCCCAACATACAATCACTGGCTAAATCCTGCCACCTCAATCTCCATAACATTTCCAGAATTCACCCCTTCCTGACTAATGACACCACAAAACAACTTATCCATGCCCTGGTTATATCCTGCACCCCCTCCTCACTGGCCTACCTTTATATAGGTTATCCCCCCTTTAGTCTATTATGAATGCTGCTGCTAGACTTATACACCTTACCAACCAATCAGTGACTGCTGCCCCTCTCTCCCAATCCCTTCACTGACCTCCACTAGCCCAACGTATAAAATTAAAAATACTAACCACAATGTACAAAGCCACCCACAACACTGCCCCCTACCTACATCATTAACCTCATCTGCAGATATAATCTAAATTGACTGCTCCGCACCTACCAAGTCATTTTGCTCTATAGCTCCCTTGTCACCTCCTCCATGCTCACCTCCAGGACTTCTCCAGAACCTCTCCCATCCTCTGGAGCTCCCTACCCCAGTATGCCTGGTCAGTCTGCACCCTGTCCGCCTTTATATGATCTTTGAAAACCCTCTTATTCAGGGAAGCCTACACCCTCCTCGACCTAAGAACTCTACTTGAATCACCTCCACCAGATAATCCCCCCCAGCTATCACCTTTTGTATCACCTCCCCATCCTTTAGATTGTAAGATCCATGAGTGGGGCCTTCCTATTCCCTTTGGATTGAACTGCATTGTAGTTGTACTGTCCCACTTTGTATTTTAAAGAGGTGCAAACTGTTGGCGCTATATTGATCCTGTATAATAATAATAATAGTTAAGAGGACGCTTTTTCTTTTCAGTTTTTCAACTGGTGCTTCTCCCAGAAGCAAAATTCCTACATTTGGTAAGATCCATTCTGGGTTTTAAAGCTTTACTTCTCTTGTTCCCATCATAAATAGAAGACTCTCCTAGTATAGTAAATTATTTTATTAAGAAAGTAAAAGCAACATGAAACTATTCACATGATAAAGTACATTATCAAACCTTGAAAACACTCCCTTGGAGTTGACAAATCATATTGATGCAAAGCATTAGAATGTCATTCCCTCACTGTGCACTCAACATGGTTCTAGTAGGACTTGCTCAAGAGCTCAGTCAATAATTGCATTCTATTTACTTGGTATCTTGCATATTTTTACACATTAACCAAAAAGCCTAGTGTATTAATCCTATTTTATTATTTTCCAACATATGGAAAATATATGGTACATATTCATATTAATATAATCTAACAACTGCTACTGCACACATGTCTGAGAGAAAATGGAACCAGGTGCTCAGCAAAGTATGAAGTACAAACAGTCCAATAAATAAGGCACTCACGGGGCTTGAAAGGTGAGCACATTGCGATGAAGTGTTATTTTGATATTTTGATGAGCCACATGTTTGTTACTATTATATATATATATGTTATTCTTTATTTATAAAACTTAGACTATTAGTTTTCAGTGTTCCAATTTTAAATGGTCTGTTCTGCTTGTGTCAATATTGTATCAAAGTTATAATAATGACAGGTATTGCAAAAATGATGCCAAACTATAAAGAATGTAACGCATGAAATAAACTACTTTATTGCAAATGGCTGTCATATGGAATGGAAAATAAATGTAAACTTTAAAAGGAGGACCTTTTATTACATTTATTTGTTTATTTACACAAGGAGCAAGTGTAAAATTCCATACCACCCTCTTCATCTTTCTTGGCAGATTTATAGTGCTCAGAGCCAGCCTATATTTACTAGAGGGAGTACTTTTCTATAGAAAACCTTTGCTTTTTCAGGTAGTAATGTATCCAGTACTTTATCTTTCTTGATGATATACCAATATTTTTTTTGACTATACAGTATTTAAATTGTTTATAATAGGAACTGAAATCAGTTACAAATCTACAGTAAGTTCTTCCTGTTCACTTGTATAGTCTACTTTCTTTTTTTTGCAGCAACTTTTTATTTCTGCTATTTCATGAACCTTTAGGATTTGTAAATGTTTTCTATTAGTTTTCATGTCTTAGTATAATGACATTAAAATTATTATAAGTATGGTATTAACTAATATATTATCAATAATAAGTGTATAATATTTCCAATTCATATGACAAAGTAAAAAAAATAAATAGAAAATAAATAATTACAAACTCAGTAATATGACTAAAGCTGAGGAGTTTTCATAAACCTTTAAATGGTTCTTATTTTATCCCCTATGACATATGTCTCCTTTACAGTGTTTTGTTTTTTGTTTGTTTTTTAAATAGTGCTTTATAGAACCACAGTTCTTTCTTAGTCTAAAAAACTGACCCCAAGGTATATTATTTATCCATTTGATGTGGTGGCAGCTGGAGACAGAGCTCTATGAAATCCTATCAGTCTCTTTAAAGAATGTCTTTTCAATGTTTCTCCTTCCTCTTTAAAGATAGTTAGATCTAAAAAATGCACACTTTGTTAACGACAGATAAACCTATTAAACTCAATTTCATTCAAATTTTCAAAATGTGCATAAATTGATATTTATCTAATTTCCAAATGGGAAAAAACAACAGTTCACTTGGTGGAAAAAAAATGCTGATATAGAGCATTTTTTGTACACAGTTAGATGAGTTTAGGAGAGCCAGAATGCTCCAATCAAAAATGCAAACCAGAAGGTTTTTATTTACTTCCTCTAAATATTGGGCTTAAAATATGCCTCTAATCATCCTAATGTGCATGGACACATAGGATAACATTGAGCTGCTTCTACAGGCAAAACAAAATACTCCTGTAGAAGCAGTGATTTGGAAGCCAGTGTGCATGGAGCCTTGGGGAGATTATTATTATTATACAGGATTTATATAGCGCTAACAGTTTGTGCAACACATTACAAAATGAAGGTAGACATTACAGTTACAATACAATTTGGTACAAGAGGAAACAGAGGGCCCTGCTCTTTAGAGCTTACAATCTAAGAGGAAGGGTTGAGTGATACAAAAGGTAATAGCTGTGGGGGGTGAGCTAATGGAGGAAATAAAAGGCAGTTTACTAGATAGAAGCAGGATAGGCTCTTTAACCACCTCCTGCCCACCATATAGTCCAATGACGGGTGCAAGGTGGTTCTCTTGTTCTGGGAGGATGTCATATGACGTCCTCCCATTCTCATCGAGCATGCGCGGCTCAGGGAGCGCGCAGCGTGGAGATCTGCAGTGCGCTGTGTCCCTCGGACACAGCGGATCACCGATCACGGAAAGAGCCAAAGATGTTGGCTCGGTCATGTGATCAGCTGTGTCCAATCACAGCTGATCACATGTAAACAGGGAAATGTCGGTTATCGGCATTCCTCTCCTCTTGAGCTTTCACGCTGAGAGCTCAAGAGGAGAGGAGAGCCGGTAATCGGCTTTCCACGGAGGGGACATGTACACTGGTCATTAGGGCACTGGTGATCAATGTGCCCTGATGATCATTGTAGCCCCAGCAGTGCCACCTGTCAGTGTCCATCAGTGCCTTGTGCCAGTGCCCCATCAATGCCACATATCAGTGCCTACCAGTGCACATCAATGCCACATATCAGTGCCCATCTGAGCTGCCTTTCAACGTCACCCATCAGTGCCAGTCAGTGCTACCTATCAATGCCAATCAGTGCCACCTATCAGTGCTGCCAATCAATGCCACCTATCAGTGCCAGTCAGTGCCGCCTATCAGTGTGCATCAGTGCTGCCTATCAGTGCCGTGTCAGTGCCGCCTATCAGTGCCAGTGCCAGTCAGTGCCACCTAACAGTGCCAGTCAGTGCCACCTATCAGTGCCAGTCAGTGCCACCTTTCAGTGCTGCCAGTCAGTGCCACCTACCAGTGCCATGTATCAGTGCTGCTTTTCAGTGCCCTTCAGTGATGCCTGTCAATGCCCATCAGTGCCACCTACCAGTGCCTCCTCATCAGTGTCACCTATCAGTGTCCATCAGTGCAGCCTATCAGTGCCCACCACTGCAGCCTCATTAGCGCACATAAGTGAAGGAGAAAAATCACTTATTTACAAAATTTTATAACAAAAACTAAGAAAAAAAATTTTATTTCCAAAATTTTCAGTGGTTTTTGGTTTGTTTAAGAAAAAATAAAAATCCCAGAGGTGATTAAATACCACCAAAAGAAAGCACTATCTGTCACACAAAAAAATGATAAAAATTTCATATATGTACAGTGTTGTATGACCGCGCAATTGTCATTCAAAGTGCGACAGTGCTGAAAGCTGGAAATTGGCCTGGGCAGGAAGGGGGTATAAGTGCCCTGTAGGCTAGTAGTTAAAGAGAAGGGTTTTCAGGGATCGTCTAAAGGTGGATAGATTAGGAGAGCATGGGAGGAGGTTACATGGGGGAACTAGAGAGCAGATGGTCTTGGGAGGATCGAAGAAAGCGGTTTTGTTGATATTTTGAGACCAGGTGGGTGGTGTACCTGGGGGAAGAGTTGTGGATGGCTTTGTAAGTTGTTAGTATTTTGAATTTTAGTTATTGGGCGAGTGGAAACCAGTGGAGGGATTGGCAGAGAGGAGTAGCAGACACTGAATGATTGGTAAGGTGGATAAAGCCTGGTAGCAGCATTCATGATGGACTTGAGGGGGGATAGCCTATATAAAGGTAAGCCAATGAGGAGGGAGTTGCAGAGATTCACTTTCTCTATTTGTCCTGCTTAACGATATTAAAAAAATATAAAGGAACAGAAAACCCTGCATTTTGGGGTGATATCAGAACAGGAAAAAAGGAAAAAAATCTTCCAATGGGGACACAAGTTCTAGTGACCCTGGTAACACCCCAGGATTCCCTCACTCTGGAGGGCTTCCTCCCACTTCCTGCTTTTTGCCTTCGGCTCTACTTTAAATTATTGTGAACCCTCACTTTGTGAAACAACCCATCCAGTTTAAAATATAAATGAAATGCAAAACATTTGTGTATAGATATAAGAATACATTATAAATACATTTGTTCTTCCTTTTTTTAATAAGGGATCACATTCTCTTTGTTCTCAGCTACATAAGAGCTGGGGAAAGAGAAATAGCAGCACACTGAACTTCCCAGTAAAAGGCTGTGGATGGGGGAGGGCAGGCTGAGTTCCCAGCACAGCTATAGAACTGACCACAGTGTATTCCCCTTCTTAGTGTGGTCAATGTTTAATAGAAAAGCAGAGGGACTGACAGGAACACCAGGGATTTCACACAAAGGAAGCACTACAAAGAGAACAGGATACATGGCACAGCAGGAACATATCAGGAATATGAAATGTTGGGTTTACATATTCTTAACATTTATAATAAAATTCTATATTATATAATTATATCATGTTAATAACAGTTTTACTGGTATGAATTAGTAGAAATAAATCACTATTCACAACTAAATTTATTTCACCAATGTGATACTAGAAGTTTGGAAATATAATAAAGCTGAGGTTAGCAACTCTTCTGGAACACAATGCTGCATGCACACTTTTGTTTTTATATCTATAATTTTGTTTAAAATATCTCTCTAAAATAAATTATTTTGCCCTTTTTTTTTAATACAGATCACTTCTGTTGCTATTGTTGCCTTTTTTGCCTTGACTTGCAGTGCATTTTTGGCTGTACATAATGCAGACATGAAATATATTTTTACTTTGCATGAAATTGCAGTATGTTGTTCTTCTTAGTCCCTTTGTTTAAATGCAGTGTTGGTCAATAAACTTTGGGAGAGAAGTACAGAGTTTTAATGAAAAATTTGTTCCATTGTTATTTACTACAACAAAGCCATAACTCCAGGCTCTGGAATACAGATATCAGAACATTGTGACCTTAAATAAGGAGCTTTGATTTATGAGTTAGCAAGTAATTGATTAACCCCTACTGATCACTATCTAAGCAAGACTTAGTAACCAGGAACAGGCCCAATAGATAATTCAGGTCACATGAAACAGAATATAAAGGCATATTTACCACAATATAACTAACACAGCACATGGTGTAATTGCAGAAGTGCCCCCTAGAAGTCTCTCTGCTATAATGTAGTTAATTACCATTTTTTCAAATTGTATCTTGTTGCAAATTCATTCTTTATTGGGTCTGACAGGCTTTGTTACAGGAGGTAATCAGAAAGTGTAAAGCTGGCCATACACTAGTAGGTTTTCAAAGGAACGTTTGTACGTACATTGATATAGAAATTCTCATCAGTACATTAGATGACTTGAAGAATGTCATTCGAATGTCCTTCAAAAACTATTTGATTTTAACATTCAAATGAAGTGAATTGGCTTTCCAGACAAAAACAATCACTATTAGTTGTTTGTTTATTTGACATAAATATTCCATCCTGCTCCTTCGAATGTTTTCTACACTGTGGGTAAAAACAAATGTCAGTTTGACCCCACTATAAATTAGAGAAACAATGAATTACATTTTTTTATGAGGTTTTCCCAGGGTATGGTCGACTTAACTTGAGACCCGGGCATATATTATTTAGAGTGTATTTTTATCTATTTTTTTTTGGAAGAAAAGAGTAATGTTTTTTTTTTTTTTTTGCTGCTATTTTTGGCCTTGTTAATTGCATTTCCTCTAACTTTCTATCCATATGACAATGTTGCAACCTGGACAGCAAATAATGAAAAATCACCAACAGGGGCACATGTAGTTGTAGTAAAAAGCTGTTGTGGGTTAACCTTATTATAAAAAAAAGTGTTTTATTCTGTCTGTGTGCCTCTTGAAGGTTTCTCCTTACCTCCTGTCCTACTGATATGACCAGAACAGGAACTGAAGGGAAATAACACCTATGGGACCACAGAGAGCAATAAGAGTCTACTAAAGTTCAAAGTTTATCAAATATTGAAAGAAGAAAGTTGTGTTTGGAGATACACTTTAAGGTATGTTTAAGTTTTTGCACCTGAAATAGCTTGAGCGCTGAAGCATGTTGCAGAATCAGGTTTGAGATATAAATGTGTTTTGTGAATCATCTGTGTATCCAGTCTCTTTCATTTCTGCAAATGATGTGTTCACATACACTAGCAGAAATTAGACTATAATACACACATTTTCTAATCTTCAAGTCCTCCCTCCCTGGTTTTGTTCTCATACATACCTTACATCCAGGAGTCTTCAGGCTGGTGGGTTGACATTATGGGTACTTCCTATTCTTCCTTGGTAGAAGTAATGGGGTCTTTCTTCCTGAACTAGGCAGCACTTATGCAATAAGGACAGAGCACTGGTTAGCCCAGGAGTGCTGTGAGCTCAGGTTGTGTGTTGATTTACCACCCATTGTGAGTCTGCCACACAATTGCAAAAAAAAAACATACTTTGTACAACTTTGTAATAATATTTGTCCACGTCTTACCACCTTAAGAGATTTAATTCATAATTAATGGCCAGCATGTGTTTTTTCTCTATCTTTTCCTTTCTTATAACATGTTTTCTTTCTACAATCAATTCCATCATCTGAAAAGTATATTATGGCTATCATTTTAAATCCTTCACACATGCATCTTGACCATAATTATAGTACAATCAAAGACAAGTCATTATACTGTGCCATGAAAACATGTGAGACAAATGGCAGCGATTGATTTTGTTGGGGAATACTAGGAACATAATAAGAAAAATGTAGTGTCCTAATGATCGATACTTGTTGTGCTTTTGGGTTCTTATGGAACTGTCATGTTTGTAAAAAAGCATTTATTTATAATCTAAACAAGCAGGGATGCACTCACAGAATCCAGTGCCTAAGGTCACTTTAAATGAGGGCACCTAATGAGCTGTTAAGGTTTAAAAAGAATATAATAGCAGTGCTACGTGCTTCTACACACTATTTAACAACCCCGGAAGGAAGATTTGAAAGATGAAAGTATAAAATAGGCACTTGCCCTATCGTCGTACTATGCATTCTATATACTGTAGCTAATGATTTGCCTCAAATGCAATGGCTTCACAAGCAGAAGAGTAACAAATACATCATTAAAATTATCTATCTATCTATAAAGTGATAGATAGATAGATAGACAGATAGATAGATAGATAGACTAGAAGATAGATATAGATGACTAGAAAGTATAGATATATGGATAGATAGTAGATAGATAGATAGATAGATAGATAGATAGATAGATAGACAGACAGACAGACAGACAGACAGACAGACAGACAGACAGACAGACAGACAGACAGACAGACAGACAGACAGACAGACAGATAGATAGATAGATAGATAGATAGATAGATAGATAGATAGATAGATAGATAGATAAAACATACTGTGAAAGAGATGTGCCCCCACTGAATCTCTGACACTTTGTAAAGGTACATTAGGCAGAGTTATGTTTATGATAGAAGTTGAATAGTCTTTTATATGACTGCTAAAAGAATGTCACTGATGTTAATCAGGAAATGTTTCTGCTGAGGCAACATAATGCTCGTGCTGGTTTATTACCTAACAATATGCTAATTTGGTTTTAATGACTCCTCTATATTTATGCTAGATAGCTGTGTGGCCTGCTTGGTTATTAATGTCTGTAGAATTCTAAGTCATTTATCCAGGTGTTCCTGTTTTAAACTTTTCACCAAGGGAGTCTATGCTAATACACAACATATGGCTATTTTGTAACCTTGCTTTATTGTCAAATGTGGTGTATTTCACTCATCCATGAAACATAACTTATTGCAAGGTTTAGTAGATACCCACTGTAAATCATCTTGGAATTTCACAGTTCTAAGCAAATAATTACAAAAACATAATAAAATCACTTAAAAATACATATTTTCCATGACCTCACTGTTACAGTAGGCAGAATGGTTGAATTG